CACTCAATCGCACCATCCCATCCTCATTCTCACCCCACTCAATCAAAGACATACATGGACGCCATATTCCACTCATACCCCGGATACATACTCTGAACCCCCCCAGGTCCAGGACATGTACCCACCCCCTATTGGAGGCAGCACACACCCAAACCCAGGAGGTAGACCCAATCATTCTGAGGTGGAGAGGAGCAGATAGCCAAGGCCCGGCCCGGCCAGCCCCCCGCCGCAGAGAAGCCACACCTATGACCACCCCACCACACTGCCAGTGACCAAGTGCACCCCCCAACCATCCACCCCCCGGAACCCAGTAGCCACCCTAGCCAGGGGGCCACCCACAGGAACCAAGAGCCATACCTCAGGAGACCAAGCAGCACCAGGGAGGATGGAGAGCCAGCCACGCCCCTGGCAACCGTCCAAGCCCCGAGCCCACCAGTGAAGCAGACCCCTCCCAAAAAATGAAACACATAAAAATAAAATGCTAATTAGATGAGTGGTTAGTGCATCGTCTGTGCACTTGAAATTTTCGTTCGTGCTGCTATGGTTTTTTATATACTAAAGATTATTTCTAAGGGTCATTCAGGGGTCACCAACCCACCTGCTTGCTCCAAAATGAGCCAAAAATGAACAAAAGTAGTCGAATTTTGTAGTGCTTTGTTTGTGCAGGTTTGTGCCATTGAAATGGCTGTTTGTGCTGCTATAATTTATTAGGAATTACACATTAAAATTTCGGATGATCACATGTCTGTGACGTCATAAACAATTCAGGCCAAGTCACATGATCGTCCAAAAATATAACGCGTAATATTTAATGAATTATGTCAGCTGTTTCATCAGCACAAACCTGCTCAAACAAAGCACTACAAAATTCGACAAGTTTGGTTCATTTTTGGTTCATTTTGGAGTAATGGTGACCACTGAATGACCCTTACATATAATCTTTAATATGTAAAAAAAAAAAAAACATAGCAGCACAAACGACAATGTCAAGTGCACAAATGATGCACTAACCACTCATCTAATTTGCATTTTATTTTTTTGTTTCATTTTTTGGGAGGGGTCAGCTTCATTCAGCTACACATTGGTCGTCCTCAGTGATCAATTTGACCCCAAGCTGTTTTAGCTGTTAAAACATCTGTCAGTGTGTGTGTGACCTAACACGACCTCATCTGCAGGTGCAGTTGATATATTTTGTTTTATTTATTATTTATTTTGATACTTCCTGCACCGTGGACATGAGTGTGTGTGAGTGTGACCTTCTGAACTCACACATGTCAAAGTAGAACTGCTTTTTCCCACACTGTGGAGGGTGGGGTATTCCCACAAGGACATTGGTAGTTCATGCAAAATCAGGGAGGAGCGAATACAAAAAGCTTGCATCTCAGTCCTCTATCCAAATCAATCCTCATTGTGCTCTGAGTTTACTGCAATCTGTATGCTCTCTCTTTGAAAATGTCTTCTGTAAAAAGCTTTACTGTCAAAGATGTTTTGGAACAGCTCCTGGACAGTGAAAGTGACTTAGAGGAAATTGTCTCTGAGACAGAAGACTGTGTTTAGGAGGACCCTGATATTGAGGAATTCTCATCTGAAGAGAATGATAGTGTTGACCCTCCTGTTGTCTCTCAACCACCTGCAGACATGATCTCTTCCAAAAATGGAAAGATAGTATGGTCCCTTTCTCCACTGAAACAGCAGGATAGATGTAGCGCTAGTAATATTATCAAAATGGTTCCAGGACCCACCAGTTGTGCAGTCAGCCATGTTGATGACATCATGTCATCATTCAAGCTCTTCATAATTCCATCTATAACCCCTGGCAAAAAGTCTGGAATCAGCAGTCTTGGATGAGCACTCATTCAGAC